GCACGGCGCCCGGCCCCACTTAACTTCTTAAGTCTTTGAGGATCCACCATTTCCTTTATTCCAAAAGAGGGACTGCTTCTGGTAAGGTGCTGCAGACCCCAAAATGTACGGTGGGGTGGAGCTTAGTTGAGTGGAAGGGGCTTTCATGACTACCTTCTTTTTTTTTTTTTTTTTTTTTTGGAGACCGTGTCTCACTCTTGTCGCCAGGCTGGAGTGCAGCGGAGCGATCCCAGGTTCAAGCGATTCTCCTGCTTCAGGCTCCCGAGTAGCTGGGATTACAGGCACGCGCCACCACGCCCAGCTAATTTTGGATGTTTCGTAGAGACAGGGTTTCACCACGTTAGCCAGGCTGATCTTGAACTCCTGATCTCTAGTGATCCACCCGCCTCAGCCTCCCGAAGTGCTGGGATTAGAGGTGTGAGCCACCGCGCCTGGCAACTACCTTTTCTTCAGAGTTCCCTCTGTTCTCTTCCTTTGATAGCCGAGAGGCAAGCCAGGGAATGACCTCCTTTGCGTGTCTTCCCCCATCTGCCCTCACTATAGGAACTCCTAGAAGGACCAGGACAGACACAAGGATGGAAGAGAAAAGGACAGAACAATTAATGCAACTGTGACTCTGGGCTTGGGGAAATATTCTCTTCAGTACACACATTTATTTATTTATTTGTTTATTTATTTATTTTTGAGACAAGGTCTCACTTTGTCACCCAGGTTGGAGTGCAGTGGTGCAAACTCGGCTCACTACAACCTCCTCCTCCCGGGTTCAAGTGATTTTCCCACCTCAGCCTCTGGAATAGCTGGGACTACAGGAACAGGCCACCATGCCTGGCTAATTTTTGTATTTTTGGTAGAGGCGGAGTTTTGCTATGTTGCCTAGCTTGATTTCGAACTCAGAGCTCAAGTGATCCGCTCACCTTGGCTACCAGAGTGCTGGGATTACAGGAGTGAGCCACCATGCCTGGCCTTTTTAATTTTAAATTCACGAGGTACATATGCAGGTTTAGATTCAGGGTGTAAATATGCAGGTTTTGTTACATGGGTATATTTCGTGATGCTGAGGTTTGAGCTACTGATCCCATTGCCCAAATAGTGAACATAGTACCTGAAAGTAGGTTTCGACGCTTGCCCTCTTTCCTTCCTCCTCTCTTTTGGAATCTCCAGTGCTTATTGTTCCTATCTTTGTGTCCATGTGTACAAGATGTTTAGCTCCCACTTAAAGTGAGAACATGCAGTATTTGGTTTTCTGTTTCTGCATTAATTCACTTAGGATAATGGTCTCCAGCTGCATCCATGCTGCTGCAAAGGACATGATTTCATTCTATTTATTTATTTATTTAGATACACAGTTTTGTTCTTGATGTCCAGGCTGAAGTGCAATGGCGCGATCTTGGCTCACTGCAACCTCCACCTCCCAGGTTCAAGCAATTCTCCTGCCTCAGCCTCCCGAGTAGCTGGGATTATAGGCACCTGCCACCATGCCCAGCTAGGTTTTTGTATTTTCAGTAGAGATGGGGTTTTTTCATGTTGGCCAGGTTGGTCTCAAACTCCTGACCTCAGGTGATCCACCCACCTCGGCCTCCCAAAGTGCTGGGTTTACAGGTATGAGGCACCGCACTGGGCCGATTGCATTCTTTTTTATGACTACATAGTATTCCATGGAATATATGGACCACATTTTCTTTATCTAATCTACTATTGATGAACATCCAGGCTGATTCCATGTCTTTGCTATTGTGGATAGTGCTGCGAAAAATGTACAGGTGCATTTGTCCTTTTGGTAGAAAGATGTATTTCCCTTTGTGTATATACCCAGTAGTGAGACTGCTGGGTTGAATGGTAATTCTATTTTTAATTCTTTGAGAAAACACCAAACTGCTTTCCACAGTGGCTGAACTAATTTACATTCCCACCAACAGTGTGTTAGAGTTCCCTTTTCTCTGCTACCTTGCCAACATCCATTATTTTCTGACTTTAATAATAGCCATTCTAACTAGTGTAGATGGTATCTCATTGTGGTTTTGATTTGCATTTCTCTGATGATTAGTGATGTTGAGCATTTTTTCATATGTTTATTGGCCACTTGTACTCTTGTTTTGAGAAGTGTCCGCTCATGCCCTTTGCCCACGTTTTGATGGAATTATTTGTTTTTTTCTTGCTGATTTAAGTTCCTTATAGATTCTGGTATTAGTTCTTTGTTGGAGGCACAGTTTGTTAATATTTTCTCCTATTCTTTAGGCTGTTTACTCTGTTGATAGTTTCTTTTGCTGTGCAGAAGCTCTTTAGTTTAAGTAGGTCCCATCTGTCATTTTTTTGTTTTTGTAGAATGTGCTTATTTTCCCTGACTTTTCAGTCAGAATTTACAATCAAGGGGAGCGTAATTGATCCAGTGGAGACCCAGGATAAAAGGGTGTAATTGCCTAGAGAATCTTTTCTGTTAAACATCATTCATCTTACTTCCCTTATCCCTTTGCCTCCAAACCTGTTTCCAAAACAAAAGCATTGCTCCGAGGAAGTGCTTGCACAGTGATAGCCCACGTGAGGAAAGGCTGGGAGAATCATGCAGAAGAGAAACCGAGAGAGATGGAGAGCGCATTCTGGCCAGCCACTTTTCTTGTCATCAATCACTGTTTGCCCCGCAGTAGTGGGCTGGGTGAGCGCAGCCTTATAATTAAAATTCTCTATTCTAACCTGTCCTCACATCTTTAAAATGATTCTTTGAGAAGTCTGGGTTAAAAGGTTTAAGGAAGAAGCCAAATTGTGAGTTTTGGGGGAAAGGACGATCATCATCTTTAAAAGAACTTTTGGTTTCCAAAGAAATATGTATAGAACTAAATGCACAGATTTTCTTTTCTATTTTTATTTTTTTAGCCAATTCCCAAAGCCCGAAATCACATTTTCCTTTAGATTTAAACTCTAGAAAAACATTATTATTATTATTATTATTATTATTATTATTATTTGAGACAGGGTCTTGCTTCATTGTCCGGGCTGGAGTGCAGTGGCACAATCTCAGCTCACTGCAACCTCCACCTCCAGTGCTGAGGCGATTCTCCTGCCTCAGACTCCCAAGGGGCTGGGATTACAGGCCCATGCCACCACACCTGGCTAATTTTTGTATTGTTAGTAGAGACGGGTTTCACCATGTTGGCCAGGCTGATCTTGAACTCCCAACCTCAAGTGATCCGCCCACCTCACACTCCCAAAGTGCTGGGATTACAGGCATGAGCCACTGTGCCCAGCCTAGGAAGACATTCTTGTCTTCTCTAGTTCACCCTCCACCACCGTCTCCTCTCTGGAGAGCCCCCTAAATGGCTACACAAAACAGCTAAACCACCTTTCTTCCCCCTGTGACCTTGCCCATACAGTGCCTCCTCTGAGTGCGTGTTCCTATCCCATCTCCTTGCAAAGGTACTAGAAAGTATTACAGCTGAGGTTCAGACATATTCATCTGTTACCCATTTACTAGTCAGAGAAATTAAATTATTTGATTGAATGAGTTCTGCTTCAAGCGACAGAAGAATGTTCCACCCTCCAGTAATGACATAGAGGACTAATTGAGTCTCTTTCCAGCTTCTGTCCTGAAAAGCAAACAATCAAACAAACAAAAAATAAAAGACATCGTGATACTCAGAAGCTCAGTACATATATAGAGGATACTTGACCTCTATATACAAAATAACTCACAAATGCACAATTGGATTATTAATAGTGTTATCTCACAGGAGTAGAATCAGGTAACCTTTACTTTCATCTTAGTATTTTCATATAACAAAGATATATTATGTAAAAATATTAGGAAAAGTCAATCTATTTTCAATCTGACAGAAAAAGCATTGTTTTAATACCAAGATTAGCTTTTTCTGACATAAACTATTTTCAAGAGTTTAGGACAGGCTGGGCACAGTGGCTCACACCTGTAATCCCAGCACTTTGGGAGGCTGAAGTAGGCAGATCACCTGAGGCCAGGAGTTTGAGACCAGCCTGGCCAACATGGCAAAACCCCATCTCTATTAAAAATACAAAAAAATTAGCTGGGCGTGATGGCACATGCCTGTAATCCCAGCTACTCAGGAGGTTGAGGCACAAGAATCGCTTGAACTTGGGAGGCAGAGGCTGCAGTGAGCTGAGATCACACCACTGCACTCCAGCCTGAGCAGCAGAGCCAGACCCTCTTTCAAAAAAAAAAAAAAAAAAGGTTTAAGACAAAAAAGGAAAGCTCACTTTCTATCAAAAATAAGCCTCCAAAAGACAATAACAGGGCTGAGTGTGGTGGCTCATGCCTGTAATCCCAGTACTTTGGGAGGCCGAGGCAGGCAGATCACCTGAAGTCAGGAGTTCAAGACCAGCCTGGTCAACATGGTGAAACCCTGTCTCTACTAAAAATACAAAAATTAGCCAGGCATGATGGTGGGCACCTATAATCCCGCAACTTGGGAGGCTGAGGCAGGAGAATCGCTTGAACCTGGGAGGTGAGCCACTCAACCTCCGCCACTGCACTCCAGCGTGGGCAACACAGTGAGACTCTATCTCAAAAAAAGACAATAACAGTAACTTGAAAGAGGCTCCTCTTCACTTCTGCCACCTAACCCATAACTCCACCCATTTCTCCGCTGGACTTACCTCATTCACAGGGATCAGAATACTGAATTGTTGCCTGTTCATCTGTAAAATGAAATAAGACATATAATTACTTTGAGGGTCTCCTATATTCAGAGGGAAAATGCTTCATAAAAGCTACTGCTTTAGCCCTTTCCAGAGAATCTCTACAGGTTATGATATTCAGAATTACAAGAAAGTTTCAATCACTAATATTTGTACGTTGTGACAAATTATTAATCATAGCAAAAATAATGGAAATAGCCCTTTGAGAACGATGGTTCACATTGTTCTCTTCTTGGTCTAAGGACCACATCATATCAAATGTCTCTAGTGTACGCAACTTAAAAATGGCACACAACTGAATTAAAATATTTTAGGAGATTAGATAATTTAATTACGTGCTACTTGGCTTGGCAAGGAGTATTTGTAAAATTAAGAGAGAAGCCATGAAGAATGAGGCAGAAGTAGGTTGGGAGATGCAGGTAAGATCTCAGCTCTCATTTCAGCCCAGCCCTCTCACCTGGCAGGTAGTAGTCATAGACCTTGATGGTTGCTGGTTTCAAGTTGGTGACCAGCACACTTTGGCTGATGGTGAAGGTGTAAGTCTGAGTGTTCTTACTGAGCTGTGGGGAAGAAGGATGAAACAATACCTTAGAACTAAAATGAAAATTACACTCTATGCAACGTGGAGTTAAAAGACCCTTGCTGTCTTCATGTAGATTTTCTGAAACCCCACCAGGAACGGTGGCTCACGCCTCTAATCCCCGCACTTTGGGAGGCCGAGGTGGGTGAATCACCAGAGGTCAGGAGTTCCAGACCAGCCTGGCCAACATGGTAAAACCCCATCTCTACTAAAAATACAAAAATTAGCCGAGCATGGTGGCTGGCACCTGTAATCCCAGCTACTCAGGAGGCTAAGGCAGGAGAATCGCTTGAACCTGGGAGGCGGATGTTGCAGTGAGCCGAGATGGCACCACTGCACTACAGCCTGGGTGATAAAGCGGCACTGCATCTCAAAACAAACAAACAAACAAACAAAAATTCTGAAACTCTCTACCTACCTCTGCTGCCCTATGACAGTCTGCCCTAAGACATTGCCTCCTGCTGACTTCCTGGCTCTTTCTTCTTAGGATCTTACAGCTCTCTGGCCCTCTTGTGAACTGGTTCCGTTTGTTCATGGTCTACGCTGACGCATGGTTTCTCCACTAAATTAGTCAAAGTGGCCAAAGAAAGCAGAGGCTTGCATTTTACTCCAACAGTTCTACGCCCCTTACTGGTTTGCTTTCTTCAATCTGGTCCCTGAGCAAATGATACCTCCTCAAAGGGGCTTTCCTTGAACACCTTATTTAAAAATAGTCACATCCCTGGCCTGCCTCACCTGCACTCTTTATCCCCTTATGCTGCATAACACTTATTACTACCGAAAAAAAAAAAGTGCGTGTATACACATATACATGTAATTTTAAAGAACTTGAATATTGTTGTCTCTCCACTAGAATATCAGCACTCTTAGGCCAGGTATCATATCTATTGTTTTCATTGCCACGTCTCCATCACTTAGAAAAGTGACTGGCATATGTTGGTTGCTCAGTAAATATTTGTTGAATAAATTAGCAAATGGAGAATCTAAGGCAATTGTATAAGTTACTTTACTATAACAAGAAAATAAATCCCAGCTACTTGGGAGGCTGAGGTGGGAGGATCATTTAAACCCAGGGGTGGAGATTATAGTGAGCCAAGATTGGGCCACTGAAGTCCAGCCTGGGCAACAGAGTGAGACCCTGTCTCAAAAAAAAAAAAAATTATAAATTTAGGTATAGAGCTATTAACGCCTAATTGGAAGGGATTTCCAAAGTTCTTCAGGTATAGTGCCTCTCAAAGTGTGGTCAAGAGACCTCCCCTACTCCAGCGATCCCTGAGATTGCATCAGAGTATCTGAGAGGTCAGATTTATTTTTAGAATGATATTAAGACTTTTTTTTCCACTCTCATTCTCTTACAAATATACAGGAGATTGTTTCCTTCTGGGGAAAGAGATTTAAAAAACTAAAAAATAAACAAGTATACAGTAGAGTTATCAGAGGCTACTTTATATGTAATATTGCAATGGTTTGAACGTAGGAATAAATATAAAATTTCATTCTCTTTGATTAAGCCAGATATTAAAGCAAAAATGCAAAACAATGTCACTATTCTTATTTTTTTGTTTTGGAAAATAGTTATTTTCTTTTTCTTTTTCTTTTCTTTTTTTGAGATGGAGTCTCACTCTGTTGCCCAGGCTAGAGTATAGTGGCACGATCTCAGCTTGCCACAACCTCTGCCTCCTGGGTACAAACGATTCTTCTGCCTCAGCCTCTCAAGTAGCTGGGACTACCGGCGTGCGCCACCACGCCCAGCTAATTTTTGTATTTTTAGTAGAGACGGGGTTTCATCATATTGACCAGGCTGGTCTCAAACTCCTGATCTTGTGATCTGCCCTCCTCAGCCTCCCAAAGTGCTGAAATTACAGGCATGAGCCATCATGCCTGGACAGAAAATAGTTATTTTCATAAAAATGTTATTTATATTAAGATGTAGTGAGTTTATTACTGTTTTTAAATTAATTAATAAATATTTTAAGATTATCTCAGTTTTAATTTCTAACATGATAAAGACCAATAGTTAAAACCCACTTCACTGAAAGCTGTTTGAGGCCCTCAGTAAATTAAGAGTGTAAGGGGATCCTGAAACAAAGAACTTTTAGAACCACTGTTCTTTTCTATCATTTGGTCACCATAACGAATTAAAGCCAATGACTAACATGAACCAAAAGAAAGCTGGGGTAGGGCCGGGCGCGGTGGCTCACGCCTGTAATCCCAGCACTTTGGGAGGCCGAGGTGGGTGGATCACGAGGTCAGGGGTTCGAGACCAGCCTGACCAACATGGTGAAACCCCATCTCTACTAAAAATACAAAAATTAGCTGGGCGTGGTGGCAGGTGCCTGTAATCCCATCTACTCGGGAGGCTGAGGCAGGAGAATTGCTTGAACCCGGGAGGCGGAGGTTGCAGTGAGCCGAGATCGCACCACTGCACTCCAGCCTGGGCGACAAAGCGAGACTCCATCTCAAAAAAAAAAAAAAAAAAAAAAAAAAAAAAAAAAGAAAGCTGGCTAGTAGCAGTTTTAATATCTGACTAAATGGCAACTAAGGCAAGGAAAAAAATGTGTGTGTGTGCATGTGTGGTGTAGGAATCTAAGGCAAAAGTATTTGATATAAATATATACACATATATAGTAATGGGGAAAGGATAGTATGTACTAATATAAGGAAAATTTAAGAAGATATGTTCATAATATATATATCTAATTATATAGTCTCAAATATATCAGGAAACGACAGCCAAAAATGTATGGATAAACGGATAAATCAAATATCACAATGAGAGGCTGGGGGCAGTGGCTCATACCTATAACTCCAGCACTTTGGGAGGCCTAGGTGGCCAGATCACTTGAGGTCAGGAGTTCAAGACCAGCCTGGCCAACATGGTGAAACCCTGTCTCTATCCAAAAAATACTAAACAAACAAAGAAACAAACTCCATCATAATTGGATATTTTAACATATGCTTTTCAGAAACTGTTAAATCAAGCAGAAAAATAAGCAGAGTTATCAAACACATGAACAACAGAAATAATGATCTCAGACTTCTAGATCAGAATCCAGGCCCAAGAGAAAAGAAATAGATGTTCTTTTGGAGTGCACACTGAACACTTGCAAAAACAGATCACGGATTAGGTCATGGAAGAAACTTCAGCACATTCCAGGCAATCAGGATCATGAAGACTGTGTTCTCAGACCATAATGCAACAAAATTAGACATCAGGAACAAAAGGATGGCTTTAAAACTTTCATGTGTTTCCCAACAAATTAAGAAATATAAGTGAATGACAATGAAAACGCTACTTGTCTGAGATTGTGGGACAGGGATGGCATGTACCTCGAGGGACATTTATAGTACAAGTTCATTAAAGAATAAGGAAGACTATATATGTGAATAAGGTCATCCTCTGGTGAACTTGATCAAGACCACAAGGGAGAAGATACACAGAAAAGAGGAAATAACCACAGATACCATCATTAGCACTGGCTTTTAGACCATTAGACCTGATGCTTCAGATTAGAAGCCAACTGGCAGATTTGGCAGGACACACTGAGGAGCAAGCAGTTCATCACCGTCTCGGACATGGTGTCATAGAAATCAGACTCCCCAGGTTCTGCTCCCACCCTAGACATGGACAGATGGGATGACTCAGACAAGCCACTCTCTCTCCAAGTCTCAGTCGGTTGCTGTAAGACTTGAATAAGTTATGTGTGAAAGCATCAGAGACTTGGCAAAGTTTTAAACCGCAACATCATGATTACAGGGTAGTGCCTGATAAGCTAACCCGAGCTATGTCAAAAGAAGCTATACACGGCTCACACAACGTGAACAAAACCCTGGTTCCCGGGAAGATAGGAAACACAGTTAGATGATCGGGTTGGTGGCTGGACAGGGGGTCGGAAATGGATGTTACTAACAACAGCATCTTTTGATTTGGGATATTCCTGTCTATTGGTTATATACAATAAGGATAACTTTGTTCCTTGTGTGGAGTGGAATATCATGAAAAGGAGCATTGTTAACAATTTTTAGAACGTTGTTAGTCCTTGAGAACTTCTTGCTTTATTAAAATGAAAGGTTATATACGATGTCTGATTAATATTAAGTAATATTAACATTATGTTAAAATGATACAAATGGCTATAGAGTAATGAGGGCTTACTCTGTACCAGGTACAGTCCTAGATATTTTTACATGTCTTAAATAATTTAGTTTTTTCTAGAACTCTAAGAGATAACTATTTTGACCCCTACCCACACACATTTTACAGCTAACTTTCAACAATTTGTCCAGTTACACAGCCAGTGCTAGAACCAAGATTGCAGCCCAGGCAGTCTGGCTTCAGAGCTTCTGCTATTAACTACTATAGCATACTCTAGCGTTGCAATGTCACTTGTGGCTATTGAGCGCTTGAAATGAGGCCAGACAGAATTGAGACGCGCTGACAGTGCTGTAAAGGTGTGGTACAGAAAAAAAAAAAAGAATGTAGATATCTCATTAATATTTCTGTATATTAATTGTATAGTAAAATGGAAATATTTGGGGTATATAGGCTTGCATAAAATATACCATTAAATTTAATTTCATCTGTTCCTCTACTTTTTAAATGTGGCTACCAGAACTCTTTAAACAATGTAAATGGCTCACATTATAGGTCTGTTGGACAGGGCTTCTCTAGAGGCACAACGGGGTGTTTTATGATATACCAGCATGGAGGCAGAACTCATGGCATGGTGTGGACTCGCTCCCAGGCCCCTCATCCCCATGTGTGTGACTCCCATATATACAGATTAGAAGAGAAGTCATGAAGATCCATAAGCAATCCAGCTCTTTGATCTAGTTCCTGAATACCTACCTCATCCAAGTAAATGTTAAGTGTGTCAGTTCCAAATTCAACCTTCTTCACCAGGGGTTGCTGGAGAAGCTGCATAAGGGAGGGGGAAAAACAGAGACTAAGAGCCAGAGCCTTCCCTATCCCCTAGGGTAGTCTTCCAAAGCTCTGCCATGATCAAGGAAACAATCTATACTGTGGAAAAGGTAGGAAAAGGGAACTGAGACTATTACAAGTTGCGTCTCATATGTCTGCTACAACCTTTCAGCCCATTTAAATAATCCAATCATGAGTTTGTATGTATGTGTATATATACATATATACATATACACACACACACGTACATATATGCACATATATACATGTACACATACCTACATATGTATATATACACACACCGTGTATATGGATGCCATATATATATGAAAACTACTTTTCTTACAAATGTACATACATATACATACATATATATGTATGTATATACATGCCATGTATATATGTGTGTGTGTATATATACACACACATGCCATGATGCCCATTTTACCAGTTTTTTTGATTATACTGTCAGGTCCCCTCACAGCTAGATAAATGAAGAAAACAGAAGTAACTTACTAACTGACTGGTGCCCTCCCTGGGACTGAACCCAGATAGCATCTTCACTTCCACAATCACCATATTGGAAGAGCTACGGCTCCCCACGTAACTGAGAGCAGGAAGAAGAAAACACATGTGAGCCTATTACTTCAGTGCACTCTGCATCCCCAACACACACACACACACACACACGCGCGCGCGCACACACACACACACACACACACGTGTCCCACCTCAGCTCCTCAGACCAGGTGCTCTGCCGGCCACCAGCACCCCAGCTTTCCTCACCTGGTGTGAATAGCGAGAGTCAAGGATTGAGGTGAAGTCAGTTGCTCACATCTAGCTTTTCCCATTTCCACGCTAAGACTAAAGGTCATCATATTTTTAAGAGGGAGAATATTGTATCTCAACACCGTCTGGTAGGAAGAAATAGCCAAATCAGGGTTGGAAAGAGCTTTAAAGATTGTACAGTTCAAACTACTTTTCTTACAAGTGAGAAACAGAGAGCGAGAGAGAAGGCCTAAGGGGAAGATGCCCTCAGACTCTCCTTCCCAATGTACATTCATTCTCATGGATCTCTACTTACCTGTACATAGACACAGCCCTGGCCTGAGGCCTCCAGCGTGTACATTCCAGGGACATTGGGCAGAGTCTTCTGCTGAAATACCAATCTGTTGGCTGACTGTATGTTGAATGTATGCTGGAAATTCTCAGTGGATTTTACAACCAGGTTGATCTCCTCAGATGGCGTGTAGGCGGTAGTGGCATATTTGGCAAGAGCTTGGAGAGCAACTACAGTATCCTGAGGGAAACAACCAAACGTATGCTTACCATTTTGTGAGTCATTGGAATTAACCTTGAACAACTCTAAAACCCACACACGTGGTTGTTGTTAGTTGGCTTGGATGATGCCTCCTCTAAGTATTTAGAGAACTATACCCACCTCCTCTGGAGAAGCTGACATAGAAATCACAGTAGCTTACTTTTATAGAAAATCACCATCAACAAGGTACTACTGAACATCCGCAGGTTACTTGGTTAACCTAATCGATTCATATTCAGAAATCAAACAGCTTCAGAATGAGTTATTGCTAGAAGCAAGTGGATAACTGTTCAGTATATATTTTACAGTTTCCTTATTTGGGGAGGAAACAGTAATAACATGACAGCCCTAGAAATTGCAGCCTATGACGTCATTTAACTGTGTGATGATCTTCTACATCACAGTTGGAAGGAGCATCAGGGACCTAGGAAAGTCCTTCCTTGCAGGCTGGCTTCTTAGCCGTGATACCATGTGATAATCTTTTATTTCTCTGGGAATAAGACAGATAACTGTCACTAAGTGAGCCTGGTACAGTGACGTTTGAACTGTTTCATTCTGAAAACATAATTCATATAAATTACAAGGGGAAAGAAAAATGAATAAAGTGTTCAACAAAATTGTCACATCTCGCTCTATGTTCTTACTAAAACCGTTAGGCCAGGGCGCGGCTCAAGGCCTCTGGAATGCCAGTACCTCTTGGCAGGCGGCCGAGACGCGGCCGATCACGAGGTTTCACGAATCGAGACCCATCCTGGCCAAGCACGGTGAAACCCCATCCACTACACACAACAACCGAATATAACAAACAACTAACTACACGGCGCACGTGGCGCGGCGCC